CTGTTTACTTTCAGAATTATTTTCATTATCGCGGATTCGCGCGACCCTCCGTTCGTCCAACCGGCATGCATTATAGCGATTCGTCGCCATTTGCATTCTGTATTTACTGAATATCGCGGCGGGAAATTTGGCTTTTAGTATCAGATTTTATATGTACCATGAACTTGAACATTGAATATTGTCTTTCGTTCCTATAAGATATTTCACTTTTTGTTTTATTGATTAAATATGTGTTTTCATATATTTTACATTAAACGAAGAAAAAAAATGTGTTAAATAAACCTTATTTTTTTTTAATGTTTTTCCATACAAGCCTGTAATTATGAAACCGAGTAGTTAAGTCTAACAATTTAAATACATTTATTTACGATTTATTTTGTAATAAAAATAATTACGATAAAAAATAAATCAAAATCAATTAAAAAATATTTTTACTTCAAATTTATTTATTATCATAATTATAGTTTAATTTCTTGCTCTTTTATTTTAAGATTATCAACATTTTCAAGGCTAAAATAATAAAACAACAATTGTAATTATATAAATTATTTTTTGCAAATAAGCGGATAAACTTGTTATTCATTTAATCTTTTTGCTAAGATGCTGTATTAGAACTTTTTTAGCAGTAATTATTCTTATTATGATAATATATTGTGGATATAATTGATGGGATATATAGTAACCGTTCATATAACATTTAGAAACAAATAATATAAATAGAAGTATTGATTATTTATTTCTTGAAGAACGTTATAATTATCTTTGAACTATTAGGAGATGTGTGTTATCATTAATTGTATATTTTCCAGCAATTTTAAAAGATGCAGACCTTACTACAATGTCAGCGAAGAAAGTAAGGCAACAAATAGAAAAAAAGTTAGATGTCGATCTCTCAGCAAGGTAAGCAATTTTTACTTTGATAAGAATAAAATTGAAGTTTTCTGAATAAGTTTGTTTCTTAATACATTTGATTAATTTATGGTGTATGCTTTGGATGCAACAATTATTTCTATTCTCCTATTTACTATGTAGGAGAGAATGTTTTGTATCCAAGAGTAAAATGAGGAAATCTGAATGAAATTTGTCAGTCTAAAATTTTCATCTCGTTCCTCCTCAAACATATAATTAGTTTTATTTGTATTTTTAGAAAACATACTAATTAAGATAATATAATTTGAAAATTAAATCTATATTGTATTGTTAAATTTCTTATACAAATATGTTTTTTATTATTTATATAGAAGAGAGGAAGTAGATGATTTAGTTATGGAGTGTTTACAAGAAAAGCAAGACAGCGGAAAGAAAAAGAAGAAGGCTGCTGCTGCTAGTGAAGAATCAGACGACGGAGAGGAGGAAGAGGAAGAAGGTTCAGAGGAAGAAGAAGAGGAGGAGGAAAAGAAGCCAGCAAAGAGAGGTCCAACTAAAAAAACATCCAGTAAGCGTAAGAAGGATTCTTCTGCTGATGAAGAAAGTGCTAGTGATGAAGATGCTAGCGACGAAGAGTATAGTCCACAAAAGCCAAAAGCTACACCTAAAAAAGGTATGAATAATTATAAATTGTTTATCTGTTATTTTATTCTTCTAAGATGGTTGTTGGTGGTTTGCCTTATTTTTTAATACCTCTTCATTTTTCTATTATATTAGGAAAACCTGGTAAAAAGGGTAAGAAAAAAGGTAGTGATAGTGACAGCGACGAAGATTGGGGTAAAAACAAAAAAGCTCCTGGAAGCGCTGCTAAGAAAGGTGGTGGTGGCGGCGGTAAGGGCAAGGGTGGAGGATATACTCGTGCTATTACATTGTCTCCTGAATTAGCAGCTGTTGTGGGTGCCGATCAAATGGCTCGACATGAGGTTGTTAAGAAAGTATGGAGTATTATCAAAGAAAGGAATCTTTATGTGAGTATTTGTATATTTATATAAAGTATATGCATATAATGTAATATATTTAATTTAGACTTTGATACTTAAGATATATGCTGAATCCTTTTATGCAACATTGTTTATATTACAGGACCCGAAAAACAAACAATTTGCAATCTGTGATGACGAGTTGATGAAAATAATGGGTGTTAAGCGTTTTAGAACCTTTGGAATGATGAAGTACCTAAAAAATCACTTTTTAAATTAAATCATTCAATCCCGATCTCTGACAGGTTATAAACATTGTATAACATATTCCAAGGCGAACTGTGCGCCTCCATCTTTCTCACACAATACATGCATAAATACATATACATGAAAACACAAAACATATTTGCGAATAAGACTAGCCATGTTAACATCATTCCGATGTGCTCTGTGTCGATCATGATAACGGCTCTTTTTTTTCTTCTCACTTAATTTCTTTCTCTCTCTTTTTCTTCGTCTCTTCTAAATAATGTATTTAATTTTTATGATTTATGGGAATAGTTGAATTACTTTATAAAAAAAAAAAAATAAAGTAAATATAAGTTTAAACGAGAACGTCCCTTTAATGTTATAAATAGAAACTTAGAGCTGTTATCAAGATCTTTAAATGATTTTGAAATGTGAATGATAATTGAGGTGGCCAAGGGATTATTAAACAAATCTTATTTTGTTATATTTAAAATGTTATATCTTATAGTCCGCGCGGTGGTCTCAAATAATACAGTGATATATTTTAATATTTGTGCGTCATGGCGTTTTAAATATGATTATCGTGTATATCTACTTAGAATTGAATTAAAATGTTTTTGTTTATATTTATCAAGTAATATATTTTTTCGAATCTTCAGAAACATAGGTCTTATTTATTTAATAAACATAATTATCTGTAGTAAAAACATTTACAACATAGTAATAATTTTCTTGAAGTTTAGAATCCTCCATTATAGTCAGCGGACTTGAACCTAGTTGAAAATTTGTAGGATGAGTAAGGTTATAGCATAAGAAAGATACCAATAAGATCAAAATATGAATTAAAAATACGTTAACCAGAAGAATGGGGACGAATGCCAGAATATTTAAAGAAAATTATTTGAAACATACCAAAGTGGTTACAACATGTTCTTAAACAAAACCGAAGTCCAACTAAATATTGGAATTATTATAATTCTATTTACTTTCGTTAATATTCGTATAATAATATTGTTTCCTTAAATATCTAATTTATTAACTATTTTTGTAATATGAAAAGTAAACTTTTTTTGTTTTTATTATGCTATATAGATGTTAATTAAAAAAATAAAACCTATGTTTCTACAAACTAACAAGAGTTTATTAGTTGATAAAAAACATGACAATTTTTTTTTTTAACTATACTCTAAGTAAGTCTACAGAGCAATCGTATTTAAAAAATCATGGTGTCCGAATATTAAAGCGAGTCACTGTTCATGGAATATTCAATAAAAAAAAAAAATATGTATTGTGGCTATGCAAATAAGATGTTCATAAGAAAAAATATATTCAGACATAAAAAATTGAATAATAAGAATTAGACACGTCTGAATAATTGTTTTTAAAAATTATTGTTAATTTTATTATATGACATCATTATCTCTCATTGATTTATAAATTTCATATATATCTTATTATTATTAGAACCACTATTACATTACTACTACTACTACTACTACTACTACTACTACTAGTACTACTACTACTTTTGAAAAAGATCTACTTTGCTAAAAACAAGGTGACCGCCCAATGTTATATAAAAAGAAAAATCAGTGTTCTATTTTGAACTTTGGAACTTGTGCATATTGTGTTGTGTTTTTATATACTGTCGGCACAAGTCTTATTATTTTACACATATTGTTTTCAACTTATTTTTAGATTTAGTTATCGACGATCTAATTTTCGAGAAAATTATATCTAATCATAATCTTATTCTGTGAACATAAATCGTTTTTTTTTTGCCACCAAAGGGTTTAAGAAAATACTTGAAGAAAACGGTTGATCGAATAGAGATAAAAATGAAAATTAAAAAGAAAGAGAAAGGGGGAGAAGATGAAGGAAATGAAAAATAAATAATAATAAAGAAATAAAATAAATAAATAAATAAATAAATAAATAAATAAATAAATGAATAAATAAATAAATGAATGAGTAAATAAATAAATAAAGAAAGAAGAAAAAAGAAAAAAAATGGACAGATTTACGATTATGCAAAATAAACATCCTGTACCTTTTCTGTATAATAGCTACATTATACACTGAAATTAATTCTTAAGCGAAGTTTAATTGTATTATTATCGTGTAATTAATAATTACTGTCGTAATAATAGGTTTCTTGGTGTAAAAAAATTGACCTAACTTTTAAGATCTAATCCTAAAGTGATGTGTATTCAGTAAAAAGTTAATGACGTATACATTAAAAAAAACATAATAATAATAATAATTAATAATAATAATAATAAAATAAAAATAATAATATTAATAATAATAATAATATTAATAATAACGATAATAATAATATTAATGATAACGATAATGTGCTTGAAACGAGATCGCAGCACAATGTCGAAGAAAAAAGTTAAAAAAATAAAAATTAAGTAATAGGTTTCTCTCTCTCTCTTTCACGGGCGAGGTGTGGAAATGTAATTACCGGCTTTTTTTTAACGGTTTGTCCGCTCCTCATCGTCATGGAGGAAGAAGTTAAAAAAAGAAGAAAGAAAGAAAGAAAAAAAGAAAGAAAGAAACAAACAAACAAACAAACAGACAAAAAAAATGTGTGTATTTTGAATATAAATTAAGAAAATGCTATGGCCTATTGTAATCGTGACTGAGGAAAAAAGAAAAAAGCCCCCACATGGGAGAATTCATAGCGACGAAAACAAGTTCTTCTGTTTTTTTGTTGTTTTTTTTTTTTTTTTTTATTATTTTGCGTAAACAAATAATAATTACGCGAAAGGAAGTAAAGAGAATGAATAAAATCGAAAAAAAGATATGATAATGATATGTGTACACGGAAAATTATATATTATATATATTATATTATTATTAATAATAATAATGATGATAGTTTTTTTTGTTTTTTCTTTTTTTTTTTCTTTCTCTCTCTCTTTCTCTTCTATCTCTTTATCGCACTTTCTCATGCTCTTGTTTTAAGAGGAATAACATATGGCTGAAGAGAACGCGCTGCTGTTTTCCGTAAATGTAAGAAGAAAAAACAAAAAGTGTCATTAAAAAGTATTGCTTAAAATTTTTTTTTTTAAGAAAAAAGTAGAAAGAAACAAAAAAAAGAAGCATTTCTCGTGTCACATTTATTTCCACGTTATTTATCATAATGTATATTCCTCATTCTTCTAATATTATCCCATAATTTTTAATAAACTCAAATTAAATCAATCGATCTATCATTCAATCAATCTATGTCAGTCCATGATGACGAAGAGTTTTTTTACTGAGTCTTCTTAATTTTTTTTCTAACGAAAAACTATCGACGTTTTTTACGTTTGTAAGTTTTGCTAAGATAATGATGTGAAAAAAAAAGAAATAATAGAAGTAATAGAAAAGGAGGTGATGATTGGATTTGGGATTTCTAAGCGGAGTTTTCTAGGTGTTCAAGTTCCTCTTCGAGGAAAGAGAGAACGTGCTGGTTGTTATCGCGTCTTCCTCGTAATCCAAAAATATAAGTGAGAAGTTTTTTCGTGTTTGTATAATTGTCTCTTTTGGTTTGTACTTCCTTGTCTCTCGGTGGTGTTGCTTGCACGTAGGCACCACTTCTAAAGTTTGACAAATGAGTCTGCGTGCTACGCGTTGCGCGTTGTCTTACATTAGCCTAAATATAAATAAATATAGGCGAGTTATATGAATAAAATGAATGAATAAACAAACAAAATGAACGAATAAAATAAAATTGAAACGTCCGTCCGCGAAGAAAATGAAAACGTTTCTTCGAATACGATCGTTCTATGTTTACTTTTTAAGGAAAAATGAGAATTACCAAAGAGAGAGCTCTTCTTCTAAGTTCCCAAACATTCCAAATGTAATTTGTATCGTCCTTTTGTGGTGGTAAAATATGCGTATCAGTTTGAACCGTTTGATCTTGACAAGTCTTTAACTCTGATTCATCTTCCGTTAATCTTGTTAATTATAAATATGAATGATTTCAATAATCTGATTTTAAAGGATGAAATATTTTCAAGTGATAATTCGCGTGTTACCCTTAATATTCCAAATTTTATTTGTTATATCGCAAATTTACTAATAAGAACATCGAGTTATTAAACATTTTTGTTAATTTTGTACTTTAATCGGTCAGATTAGAAACTGTTGCTAAAAATGAAAGAAACTATTTGAATGCAAATATAAATTTTTCTTCTTTCTATCAACGCGAAGTTATGCCATTTAATTACAAATTCCTTTTTTGTTTTTCATTTCAGTTTTGTCAATGAAATGTTTTACTTAAAAAATATTAAATTCTTATTTAGTATATTATCTTTTTGCATAATTGATACGAACTATAAGTCATTTTCAGTTATGGATATTTGACATTGTAATTAATTCGCGATATAACAAAGTACCGGTATTTACAAAAACATATACGGGGTATTTTATTTTAATATTATCAAATAGACAAAATAATTTCTGATTAAAAATAAGAACAAAATTGTATAATATATAAATACAGGAGCATAAAATCCTTCATTTATGAACAAGATAGCAAAATTGTAAATGACAAGAATGAACAATACTTAAAAAAAACGAACAAGAACTTGAGCAAACATGATTAAACCGATCGTACGAGAATACAGTTATTTATAATTTTGATATTTTTATTATAATTTTGCAATCAAGTATTTATGTCTTTTTATTTATATTCAATTTTTGTCTTACTTTTAATCACGAAATATTTTTATACTTCGTTTAACGGTATAAAAATGAAACACCCTATATATGTGTGTGTTTCGTTTGACTCACTCCTTATTTTTCATAGTTTCGATGTCTTCATACATCTGGAATAAATAGACGTATTCTATATGATCCCTGATAAAATTCAGAGCCTCTGCAACGCACCTGCAACGAATAAGAATAAGAACGATGAATAGAACGTTTTCCACAATTCTTCCGTTTACAAAGCTTACGCGTACATATACTTACTTATCTGGTTCCTTTCCAAAAAGACGAGCAGCTGCTGCTGAACTGAAAGCATAATACCTCCCTCGCCATTTAGCTACCCCATTGTTGGGATTTGCTGGAATTAAAGCTCCTTTCCCCATTACGAACATCCAAGCGCAAAAGCCGAGAAACTTTACGATTAAATAATTCGTTATTACAGTAATCAAATTATTACATATATGAATGTATCTTACGTGTTTTTTGTTATTATTATTATTATTATTATTATTATTATTATTATTATTATTATTATTATTATTATTATTATTATTATTATTATTATTATTATTNTTATTATTATTATTATTATTATTATTATTATTATTATTATTATTATTATTATTATTATTATTATTATTACTATTATGGTAATATTGGCAAGTTTACCTCCAAATCAATTTTATCAAAATCCTTCGTATTGTTCGGATAATAGATAGTACAATCGCCACAATCTGCTAAAAATTTCAACGATAACATTAAATCGATGATCGATGTCAATCTTATTTTCAAGTTTATACGTACGTGTATATACAGCACAGAACATAAAGCGTCGGCACGGATTACATTTTTCTTATAACATTTTTTTAATTTAATTTTCTTTTTTCTTTTGTTTCTTTTTGTAAAATATATCTCTCGAGTTGTCTTAAAGTTTAAGTACATTGTAAGTCATAGAGAGATCAAATTAGGTGTACAAAAAAAAAAGAATCTTTTTTGTTTTTTTTTATAGATTTTTATGCATTTCTTCATTTATTTCTTTTATCATATATAAATTTAATAAATACAATTTGCGATATATTTAAATTTTACGCTCGAGCATTATATTTAAGAAAAAACAAAATGTTAAATAAATTTTTACAGATTTACGGGTAGATGTGAGAAAATTGTAATCCGTGCTAATAGTTACGTTCGGGACTGTATATATAGATGCATATATATATAGGATGTTTTAATTTATTTTCATAAAATTTAACCAGCATATTTTATAAGTAAAAATAAAAAAAAAATGTAACGCAAACATGAACTCATAAATGTTTAATTTGATAGTTACAACAAAAATACGAAATGGACTGATTTCTTGATCGTCAATTTAAATTATAATTCCATTTCAAAATATTATGCGCTATTGAAAATGCAGTATTGGCATTTACAGAGAATTGAATTTTTATTATTATTTATTTATTTTATTTATTAATTTTTTCTTAATTTTCTTTAATTGTAGTAAATACGTTGGAAATCTTTTGTATAATATTTATTCCCGACTTATTCTCACAAGTAAAAATCTATTAACGTGATATTTGTTGATCTTAGGGGAACTATGAAATTGGTTCTCCTCGATTTATTCATTATTCGGGGTTATTTAATGGTTATTTAATGATTGTCGTATTTGTAGCACATAATGTACTGGACAACTATTTAATTGGATGCATAAATATTTCATGAAATAATAATAGAATATTTTCTACTAATTTTGGCTGCAATCTATTTTATAAAAAATTTACAAAAGATTGCCCGGTTAAACTTTTAAGTAAAAAGTGAAATCCGAATACATTATCGTTGCATATTTAAATAGATATCGGCAATGTACTCATATGTCATATCAACGAAATACCGGTTCGTTATTATTTTATATTTTTATTCGAAATTTTTAATGAAACATTTAAGAGCTCATATTTATGGGACAATCTTTGGCTTGTTTTTATTTATAGAATATGATGATAAAATCTTATGGAATTTACTGAGATACCCACAGTATATTTTTATGTATAGTATTATGCATTTAGTGAGATATTTATTATTACTTATTGTTTCACCCATTGACAGTTCAAGACGTTCAGCGTCTGTTAAAACGTTTACGTTTTTTATTATTATATCCTTGAATATTTCTTGATCGTACACGTTTACATTCTGCGATATAGGTAAAAAGAAATGAAGTGTTCCAAGAGTCCTTTGTAAAACAATTTTGTCGAGTAATAAAATAAACTTTTTTGTGTTACCTTAATATTCAAATTGTGTATCTCCCAGAGAAAATTATTAATATTACTTAATATGATCACTTCATCCTGTAATCCCATCCATATATCTGCAAGGTCGATGAACTGTGGCTATTAGAATAGAGTATTGATAAGAAAACAGAGTTTCAGTGATCTAACATTAGTCGAATTGTTTTAATAACCTTTTTTTCTTACTTAATTATTCGCTAATTATTGTCTCTTTTTTACTATAAATGGTACAAACTATCTTGTTTACCTAATACTATTTTTTGTTATTTAAAACTTACATAAACTTGAGTTGTTGGAATGGCTGTTCTGTAACGCATCGTTTCATGAAGTTTCATCAGACGTTGTTGAAGACGTTCGATCAAATTTTTGATTATATTCCCACTGTGTTCTACGTCAGATAGTAATTTTCTGTAGGAAAAAGATTTACAAAAAATAATCTTTCTTTTAATATTAATGATTTTTAAATTATTATACGTGCCTGATATATATTTCCTGTTGACGAGATGCCGTTAAAATTTCAATAGCCCATTTGTAATTATCTTCTTTAATGTTTTTAGGTAAAATCAATTTCTGCATACTCGAGTAACATATATCGTCGTTCTCATCTATCACCATAGAAGAAATGATCCTTTCTATGATATCAGTAAATTCGTAAACTTTTGTCATTAACTTTTCCAATAATTCAAGGATATTGTCGTACGTTTTCTTAACTGAATCTTGTAAAATACTTGGAACTATAAGAAATACAAAATTATCCATCATAAGAAAAGATATCATTATTAAATGTTAATGTATAAATGATTTTTTTTTTTTTTTTTTTAAAGTAGGATGTGTCCATTTACAGCTCACAAAACAGTATAATTTATTTTGACTTTATATTAAAATTTCATGTAAAATTTTACACGAATTTATTAATTAGCAATACTTTTGAAATTGATTCAAGCGGAAACTTTCAAATATCTCAAAATAAGAATTAAACGGACTTATACCAATTTAAAAAAAAAAAACAAAACGATTCAACAGTTATTTCTCACGATCATCGATTTCTTTTCCACCACGTTGACAATCTCGATTAAATAAACGTATACCGGCAACTATACACATCAATTCCATAAGTTGTTTTTCCTTTTCGTTTTTTGGAAGATTTACATAATTTGATAACTCAGATGGTTGAAATACACTTTGCAATGTTGCAGTTACTTCTCTGAAAAATGTAAGTTTTATTTCATTTTTTATTTTTCTTAATTAAAGGAGAGAGAGAGATAGATAGAGAGAGAGAGAGAGAGAGAGAGAGAGAGAGAAATTGTATCTTAAATAGAATAATTTAGTTTTACCGTAAAGTGTTCGTTATTGCTGGATTACCGAGTCCACTTAAAAGGGTAATAACTAGAATCATTTTCTGATAGAGTTTTTCCATTTCTTGATCATTGTTAATTTTATTCGTTTTACAAATTTCAGTGACCAATGGGTTTGTTTTACGATGAAGACTTAGCCTATGCTTTTTAATGATTTCATCTAATGAAATTTGATTTAAATTATTCTTTAAATAGAGATAGACAATTAATGAAAGTAATGACAAAAATTAGATCAAGTTAGGCAGAAATTTAGCAATCCCACAAGTGAGAACAAAATTAATTTAAAACAGTAAGAAACTCATAATTTTGTCATCTTTATTTAAAAACAAATTATATTATAAAATTATCAAAAAAATTAAGATATAATTCTATAAATCCAATTTAGGTTTATAAAAAGAATAAGTAATTCAATTTTAAATAATATTTATTATACTACTTATCATTTAATAAAATGATCTATTAAAAAATATTATAAAACATAAAACAATAAAATAAAAGAAAATAAAATACTCAATATAAATAAATATATTACAATTTATTTTTTAAATTCAAATGTTCGATCGAGGATTAGTAACTTTTCGCATAACTTAATCTATAATTGGATAAATAGCAACCTCTTTCACGATAATGTTTAGCATAATATAATTGATTTTTTAACGTCGTCAAACTTGGTCTATTTTGATCCAGCAATTTTTCTTTGATTATTTGAATCACTTTTTTATGACTTATTTCGTCATCTTCCATAAATTGATAAATTGGATTTAATTGTGTCAGTGACAGCTATTAAAATAATTTAGTAATAAAAGAAATGCGAGGTTATTTTATTCAGATTAAATGAAAAAACTTACCAAGAAGGAAACTAAATCGTTGGTCACGTGTATGTTATTACTTTTACATTCATAAATAATCTTTTTTATTAAAATCTTTCGTATGTTATCCATTATTCAACACAATTAATTAATAAAATTAAAGAGCCGATTAATGAATTATACTTTTTTATAAATCTAAGATATGGTTACGAGAATGTGTCAAACTGCTTGCGCTCGTAGTTTGATCAATTTTTGTTTGGAAACGGTAGAAAATCGATACATATATACATTTGCTGATAATCGTAATAGTAAATAAAATAAAAAAGTGAAAGAAATTGATTTTATACTTTATTTTATAATATAATTATTTATATTACGAAATAAATCATAAAATGAAGATTTAAAATTCTTACAATTACCGACACATATACAAGTTGCCCAGTTTTCTTCAATTTAAATTACAAGATTTTACCAGTTCTATAAGTAAAAATAAGCAAATAATGTTATAACAAAAACACGAAATGATAACGAACTGATGTAACATTAAAATAAAAATGAAAAATTTTTATTTCAATATTTTAAATAATTTTATTATTTATTGGAAGTCAATCTTATTTTTCTATATGAATTTTATATCGTATAACAAGAATTTTCATAAAATATTATTATTTAATAACCTAACAATTTCGTTATACTATTAGTTTGCTTATATTCTTAACTTTGTACAATTCGAATCTCGCGCAATTGAAGTATCGAGAGATTCGGAAGTGGTCGAGTAGAGTCGGATATGTTCGCAAGATAGGATCGTTCGATAGGCTGGCGTAGTAGGGGTGATAGAGACTTCAGAGGTGTCGCAACAGTCTACGTAGTCGGAGTAGTCGGACGTGGTGGCTGGTACGGTGTGGTGTTTCTTCGCGTCGCGTTGAAAAAAGTTAAGGTGACTCGTGTTTAAAGGTAACAAAACATAAATGTGCGAAACGTTAAACGAACGATGATAGCGTGAAATAATACATTTTTTAATAATAGTTAATCGTGTTAATTCCGGAGGACGTCTTAACGACAAGAAGTTAACATGATTAGTGATACTTTGTGCTACTTGAACTACCGTTTCTTCTTCCCAAGTGTTTCGATGGTGCGGTGCAAATCGGTGCTCTTGCTTTTCATTTTTCTCATCATCGTCGTTACCGCTCATACCGAAAGTCAAGGTAAATTTATTTATTTTTATTTTTATATTTTCAATATACATATATATATATATATATTTATTATGTATACTTGTAAACATGTATTTATTTATCTTTATATTTATTATGTAGACAGATAGATTTGTTTATTGACAGTTTGATGGTCTAGTAATTGTTATTTATTATGTATGTTATATGTTGTATATTTTTATTTTTATCTATATATATGCATATATTATATAAATAACAATTCATGGTCTTTGCGTTGAATAAAAGTATATAATAAGTATTATATAGTATATTTATATATAATAAATATTTAATTAAGAATGTTTCGTTATTTATAAGACAAGAAAATAAATGAAAACAAATATGGCGACTAAAATATTAAGTTTAGGATTCTTCATTAATATTTAATAGGAATAGAAATTTTATAGCTGTTTTTCTATTTGTAACATTAAAATATATATAATAAAGATTACAAAATGTTATTTATCTTTTACAAATGAGTCATATAAAAATATGGCGGGAAAACAAAATTGTAATCTTAAAATATACCGTCTATTATTTTTTATAAGTATTAGGTTAATAATTAATGTCGTTTTTGTTTCATACCTTCGCAAAGATATTTTATAAAAATCTAAAGAATATAATCCTAAACAAATAACATTCATTAGTATTAGATCAGACATATATATATATATATATATATATATTACATTTTATATTAATAATTAATAAATAATTTAGATAACAAAAATAGAGCGTAAAATTATAAATAACGTTCTGATTATTTTTATGTATTTGTTTTTATTGAAATTTGATTAGTTTTTTCTTTTAATTATGGTATTTAAATGTGTTTATCAATTATTTATATATCTCTGATCGTAACTATTGTATAATATTGTTTATATAAATATATATTCAAGTAGAAAACACGTTTGACTTTAACGTGACGCTTTTACGAGTGCGTGTTTACTTATATTCACTTAACTTTGTATCTATTTTGTAAAAATGTGAACAAAAAACTGATGACGTATGCATATGTATAATGAATGAGGTTTAGTTGGATTAAATTTAATATGAGTAATGTAATTGGATTAAAGTAATGGAACTATTATTTTCTATTATACGTATCACTTGTATCCTGTGAAATATTTCTGCCCTATTTTGTTCTTGTCCATTTTGTTTTAAAGAAAATTTCCAAAGTATTTAATCGCAAGATAAAAATTTGCAACACACGTGTGTTATTCAGCATGAATTTTTTAAATATAATTTATATATACTATTTGTCATTTTTCATAGTCATTTTGTTTTATAATGAAAGTTTTTGAAGTATTTTAATTGTAAGAATTAAAAATGGCGTCATATGCACGTTTCTCAGCTAAAGTTTTTAAATACAGCTGACTCTTTTATTGAGGAAGTCATTCGTATTTTCTTTTCTTTTTTTTTTCTTTTCGTTTTTTTTTTCCACTTTCTTGAGAAGATTTATTTATAATCCTTGAAAGATATCGAAGTGGGGAAGGAGGCATTTCGTCTAGCATCGTGATAGGTCGGTGAAAAGCGTTCACCTTCGCTTTGAATAACGGAGAACGCGTCTAACGTCCGATCCAATACCATTTCAACGTACGAAGAATAATTATCTCGAATGATGTATCGTTTTTTTGCTTTTCCATTTCACGAATACAGAAACCTAATAAAGATTGGAATTTTGTTGAAAGGAGAGTACGAATTTATACGTACGAGCCATTTNATATATTAATTAATGTGTGTTAATTAATTTAATTACAGACACCTAACAAGTGGATGAACGAGTGGCAATCTGGACCAAAAGATGCAACAATATTTATGTTGAACTCTAAATATTAACAAATGTTTAAACAGTTATATTATTATTTTTAATATATTAATTGTAAATTAAAAACTAAATTATTTTTGTTTCGTTTTTTTCTTTTTCATTAGTTTGAATTTTTATTTTTATTTTTTTTTGGTGTCTACAGATTTTGTAAAAAATTATTTGATAATTTATTGAATAAACGTCAAGTTTGTATCAAATTATGTTAGATGTAAAATAAAAGTCGTAATTTTGTGGAAATGAAAGTAACGATTTTGAAAAAGTATAAGAATCTTCTAACTAAATTTATTCACTTTGAGGTCATTGAGGGCTGGTAGCTTTCTGTATAACTTGGTCCAATTTATTTTGGTCGGTTAGAAATGTGTTAACGCAGCTTGAGATGAATGCAGCCGGATCTTTTTCGTATCGAATGGCTCCGTTGAGTCTCTCGTTATTTTCTTGTACCTCTTATTGTTAGAAAATTCAACAGAGCATAAAGATGCTCGATGATTCTTCGGTCTTTTCTTCGAAAGATTTCCTTTTTTTTTTTCAGCTTACAATTTTCTTATATTTCCCGCCATATGTTTCTACCGCTTATTTAAAAAGATGGGGTCTTTAGTAGCACAAAATATTGAAAAATGTTGAATACATGTGTATTTAATATTAAAAAGAGATTCAATCTATTTTTCAATAGTTTTCAATATTTTGTGCTACTAGTGGTAATACTTTTTATAGTTGAAATTTTTATTTTATTTTAGATGATAGGAAGAAAGTTTTTATTTTTGTATTAACATGGAATATAATATGAGTTTAAATGTTTAACAATATAATAAATGAAAATTATTAGTTGCCATATTTGTTATTTTCTTTTACTATTTATTTGCGAATCATATAAATAGCAAAATTATGTTTATAAATAATAAATATAATATAATGACATTATACGTATTTTTTACGGTAAACGTTATTACGTCCACTTGAAGTTTCTTTTTTTTAACAGTAAACCGATACCGTTAACTTTTCACCTGGAGAGATTGAACTCTTATGATTTTTTAATTGTTTTTTTCATTACGATCTTTTTCACTTATTTTTTATTGTTCAATTGTTCAATTTATAATTTACATTATTCGAATTTTTATTTCCTAATAAAATACTTTTATTATATATGTATTTACGATTTGTTCATTGCCACTACAAAAAAATGTATTGAAAATCTGATTCTAATTTGTAAATTTGAATGAAATCAATTTAGTTAAAATAAAAAAACATTTATTTATATAAAATTATAAAAGAAATTAATATATACATTATGTTAAATGCGTGCATGAACGGATCGTAACCCTGTTACGTCGGTAAAAGATCAAATGGTTTAGAAAGAAAAGAATCGGTGATCAGTCTTACGAAAGATACTTTAGAAAAGAACGGAACAATTTACAAAGAATTGCTATATGCATTAGGCCTTAGTCATTTGCGTTGCTAGATGCGGGTTGAGTCATCGAATGGAATTGTAATCCTTTTGGATAATTTCAATTGACGATTTTTATCCTTTATTTGATTCCTCAGGATGTCTCAAAAGTCTTTTTATCGAGAACATTAAAAAAGAAAAAAATAATAAAAATCATTTGTTTATTAAAATTATAATATTTGGTATTTTATTAGAAGATATGAATTCTTAATTACAGTGTTGTTAAAAAAAAATTATGGTGTATTTTAAGCACAATTCTATTATTCCAAATATCTGTCAACAAGTAATTTTTTATTTTATATATTAATTTCTTATTTTATTTTTTTTTATTATCTCATTACTATTTATATATTATATACTATATTGTATATAGTAATTTATTATTATATATATTATTATGTATTATATATTTTTAATAATATTTATATAATATAATACTATTACATATATTTTTGGTAATATATTATATTATAATTAATATTTATAATATTTTGTTATTCAGAGAGAACAAAAACAAATCGAACAAAAATCAAATGTTTTGTAATTAAAAATTACAATATTTGGTATTTTATTTTTTTTTTCAATATATGAATCATTAGTTACACTACCGTTAAAAAAAGTATGATACATTTTTAAAAACAATGCTATTATTCTATGAATAAATATTTGTTAAAAAATAAATTCCACTATTGTAGCTCGGTAAATCGTCTTTTGATTCATTTTGTATATTTATAGTTAATTTTTAAATATAAGAGTTTCTTATGTGTGTGAGACATAAAGAAGAATTAACGATGAGGATGATTCACTATTGATAGAGTATGTGTGTGTGTGTGTGTGAGAGAGAAGGCAACTATTAAAAGCGAGTAGAGTGCGATTCATTGATCTTCAAAATGTATTTGCTGTCAATGAAAGTCTCGAACGTTTGTTCGAAGTAGCTAACACTCTGTTCGGAATAATCATACATTTAAACTTATTCGTTCATAGTTGGTAAGTGTCTTCGAACTCGGAGAAGGTCGAACTCGAATTGACTTCCGATAACTGCTTACGACCTGTAGATTCGTTTCTTTATCGTCTTCTTGCTGATTAATACCGATTAAGAGGAAGAGAGAACATATTCGAGCAAGTACTTAACCTTTCAATGTATATTCCGACGATGATGATGATGATGATGATGATGATGATGATGATAATATCTTACTTCCTGTTCTTCGTAGTCATAGATTATTACTCATAACTTTATATTACATATTTCCTTTATTTTTTTTATTTTTTTACAGGTATCGATTTATATTTTTCTTTTATAATAATTTGGCTTGTTGAACAAATTGATAGAATTTTTGATTGTTTTAATGAAAAAATTTTGAAAATCTATAATAATAATAATAAATTAAGAGTCATTTATAAATTTATTTTATTTTTTGTTCATTTATAAAATTAATTGAAAATGTAAAATATTCAGAAGTAGATCACTAGATATTCCGTGATTTTTTTTCATGATTTTTTTTTTTTTTTTTTTTTTTTTTTCTTTTGCGCCCGAGAATGAAAGGTTGTTATAAAAGTTACTTGAGAAAATCTTAACGGGGTAAAAAAAGTTTCCATTGTAGGGAAAAATGACGAAAGGTCGTTCACCAGAGAATGACACTCGTATAGACGTTTCTTGATTGCCTGGTTTTCAAGCGTCCAATGGTAGGATAACAATGCGAATTCGAGAGCTGCAATGAA